ATTATGATATTATTATCTTATTTATTAAAATTGTTTATTTATTGTATAATATATGATATTATTATCTTATATATTAAAATATTATATATTATATTTATTGTAGAATATCTAATATCTAAAGTGAAATATTTATCTTATTTAACATAACACTAATATGGTTAAATTATAATATATCAATTCTTATGTTTAGTGCAAGACTAATTAGTGTAATAAATAGAATGAATTGAATAAACTTTATGATTAAAATTAATAATATATACTAAGTTTTTAATATTAGTTCTCATGTTTAGTGCAAGAATAATTATAGTGTAATAAATAGAATGAATTGAATAAATTCAAGGCACTATTGTGAATTATCACATTTTTGAATGATAAAAGAGTCAATTAAAAGTTTTAACACCAAAAGTTTTAACACCACGATCCTCTTTTATGAGTAATATAGATTAAAAAAATCTAGTATAGTTAGTTGCAAAACAAACTCCCTAGAAAATTATACTTCAATCGAAATTTTTTGGCTAACTCCAGAACATGGTTGCCAAACAAATTGTACTTTCAAGTTTAGAATTTGGCTGCAAAATAAGTAATTAATGTACTAGTCTAGTATCAACATCTCAACAATTTAAACGAAGAATAATGTATATTAGAAATGAGTGATGTACTATTTTTTTTGGTCAATGAAAAAAAAAATTATTCATCACCAAATTTTGAAATGAGAGAGCAACAAGAACTACCAGAAAATGTTTTGGGAATCAAAATCTGAAAACTCACAAACTATTTACAATTTTCCTATTTTTTTCTCTCAAATGCACATGAATATCCTCATTTAGAACTTTTAATAGTAATAAAATCTTCACTTCTTTGATAAGTTGATCAGGACTGCGGGTTTTTTGCTGAAAAATTCTCATATTTCTTTCATTCCATATCCAGTAAACAGCCCCTGATAATGCCATTCTTTTTAGCTTCTTCATGAATCCAGAACCCCTCAAATTGTTGTTGTACCATCCCATTACATGATCCCAGCTGCAAGATAGTTGCCTACTTGGAAACTGAAAAAAAAATCTATGAAAAGAAATTTTTAAATGTAATTGTTATTCCAAAAGAACCCATCTCAATAATGAATGAGGATCAAATATGTATCACGAATAAAGTTGTTTTCAACATGCATGTCATCGGAATTTAATTTTCAAGAGTACGTAAAATAATATCCTATCCTTTGCCATTTAAACATTGACATGTGTCCTCATTTATTTAGCTTTCCCAAGCGAAGGACCTCAAGGAAAAGTGGGTTAACTATTAAATTTATGTAATAACATCATTAGCCCATATTTTATATATATGTTTAAACTTAGAAGAAAATTTCAAAACAGACTCAAACCAAGTTTTAATTTTCAAAATCGACTCATTTTTTTTACAAAAATCGACCCATTTTTTGCCACGTCAGCTTCTCATTTCCTAATTAGTCAGGGTTGCCAACCCCGACTATTTAGGGCATAAAAAATCAGGTTTAAGGCTTATAATTGGGGTTTAATAACCTCCTAAATAGTCGGGGTTGCCAACCCGGACTGTTTAGAAATGAGATTAAGCTGACGTGGTAAAAAGTGGGTCGATTTTTGTAAAAAAAAAAGGTGAGTCGATTTTAAAAATTAAAACTTGTGCTGAGTCTGTTTTAAAAATTTCTTCTTTAAACTTATGATTGAGCTAACATGACTGAAAAATGGAACTTTGAAGAATATATTTATAACAAACTATTATAATGTTACATAGAGCAAAAACAAAATGAAGCTTCAAAATTAAGAATTACTTATCACAAACTTTTATAATGTTAAGGAGGAAAAACTATCCATGGATTCCATCAATTCTGTACAACCAGTGATCCAAGGCCTTTCTTTTTTCAATTGCATAGCAATAGTTATTTAAAAATGAGTCATAATTCATGAACTACTTTCTTTAAAGTCATTATTATTTATCGCCTTAAAAAACTCGATATCATCCCTGAATCCAATCAATTGAACATCCACAAATGTCCAATTAAATATCACTTCATCACCCTAATTCTCTCTCAATTCCCTAATTTCGTCATCTTTGCTTGCGATGTCTACAAAACTACAACATCAATGAGGAGACATTGTATAAAATAACTTTATGTACCACCAGTGAGATACCTCAATAATTGAAGGGCGGTTAGTTAGTTAGGCGCACGATAGCAGGCGATTGTCTCTGCTATTTTGCACCCCCACCGTGTGAAGAAATGGCGAGCACAGCGACGAAGACCGCAGGAAAAACAGCAAGAAAAACACCATGGACCGCATATGAGGCGATATGGACTGAGCTTATGGTAAATGCATATTGCTTTAGCTTTTCATTTATTAATAATTAGTAATTAATATTAAATTATCCTTACTAAATGTGTATGTAAATCTACAGGATTGCTTCTACCTTGAGGACTTTGAGAGGCTTAGAATTGTGTTTAATGTTAAGGTTGAAACAGTCCTCAAACAATGGAGGCATGAGATCAAACATGAAACCTATGATAGGTATGAGGAGGACTGGCAGAGGCTTTTAAACCTCGATGACCGAGTTGACGAGATTCATTTCACGGCTCTCCTCATGTATTGGGACAGCGATGCCGCCAAGGTTAGTTTCATAAAAATTACTTTATAATTTTAAGATATTATTTCATTGCATATTTACAGATATTTTTTAAAGAATAAATCCACGAAGGGGTTAGAAAATAGAAGAAAGAAGCTGCATGACCACCACTTGGGCTCACACTCCTTTGCCAATATGGAGGATGTTTATTGTCAGGATACGGTATATGTCATTTAAAGCTTTAAATGATCTTAATGCTTAGTATGTCAGGATACGGTATATGTCATTTAAAGCTTTAAATGATCTTAATGCTTAGTATGATTATGAAATCTCATAATTTATAATATGATAGGGAAAATCATTAATGCCGATACACTTGAGGGCAAAAACGGCGTATGGTACTTTCCGTGATAGATATAGGGGTGATGAGAATAATCGGGATAAGATCAAGGAAAATCTCGAGTTAGTGGTGAGACTTATACATATCTTGAATAGTATTATTAACTCTATTTCGTTGTTAATATTACGAGGGAACGAGAACACAAATAATATGGTCTTTACCTTGAATTAACTATATATTTGTGCTTAGGAGGGATTTGAGGCTGCATCCAAGGAGGCTGCATCAGTGTACATTTCGCAGGAGGAGGAACAAACCGAGTCGGACCCTCACATACTTTTTGCAGAGGAGAACATCACTCTCACACAGAACCTGATGGGTCATAATAGGTATGGATGATAAAAAATTGAATCAATTTGAATACTATGTTCCTATTTATATTTGTTTAACATTATTGAATTCTAGTAATTATAAATTTAATATTTATTTCTCCCTAATAATAGGAGAGGAAGATATCATCTGCATGGTGTTGGAGCTTCACCCGGCATAAGCATGAGATCATCCACAACATCCTCCATGTCATCTACATCAATGAGATCAGCCCCAAGCAGTTTCTATGTTATGCCATTTGTCGCACATATCTCTGTGTATTTGATTGATAAGATTGACCAGGAGCTGCATATTCAGGTGACTAATGAGATGACTAGAGTTACGCTAACGGCGAACTCGATGGACGATCTAATGGAGTATGTTATACAATATTTAGGCGGTGCGATTCCTTATAGTGCATATGGTGGTATCATACGGATCATAAGCTCGATTGGCGATAATTCCAGCACTAGACAGAGCAGCACTCAGGTACCTTATTTTTTTCTTATATTTATAAATTTATTTTTATTTAATATATTATCAAACACCACATAATGATTATTCAATTAAACATTCAAAGTAGAGATATTGAAGGGAGCAGCACCCGTTCTCGTAACCGTGATAGAGATACTGCCGATAACGACGATAGATGGGGTTTTTTATTTTTAATGCAATAAACAGTTTTATTTGTTATAACACTACATTTATTCATGTTGTGTATCCTATCTTATTCATGTACATTGTTAGCATATATGCTGTTGGATGTATATATTAGACGGAATTGGTTGATGTATATTTTGGATTGGATGGTTGGATTTGTGCATTGTGTTGTATTTGATTATATTTGGTTTTGAATGGAATTGTTATGAATTTTGATTATATTTGGATGGTTGGATGTATTCATGTACACAATATTTATTGGATGTATTCATGTATTAATGTAACTGTACAGGGAAACAAAAATTGTAAATAATTTTTTTGCTAAAAAAATAGCAACCTCGACGGAATTCCGTCTAGGATGAGTCAAACTAGACGAAAATTCCGTCTAGGTTGTTATAATCAACCTAGACGGATTTCCGTCTAGGTTGCTATCCTAGACGGATTTCCGTCTAGGTTGGCAACCCTATCCTAGACGGATGTCCGTCTAGGTTGGCAACCTAGACGGATGTCCGTCTAGGTAGGTAACCTAGACGGATTTCCTACTTTCGTCTAAGTTGATATCCGTCTAGGTTGATCAAACTAGACGAAATTCCGTCTAGTTTGACTCGACCTAGACTGAATCAGACTAGACGGAACAAACTAGATGGAATTTCGTCTAGTTGTACCAATCTAGACGGGAAATGGATCAACCTAGACGGAAATTTTCGTCTAGCTTGCTCGTTTTTCTACTAGTGAGTGTTAGAGAGCATGAGTTTTTTGGCTGGCGAGGAGGATGCATAGCCCAACTTTTTGGACTTCCTCTAAGCAATTTATTATCAAAAAAAAAAAAAAAAAAAAGGTTGTTGTTCCATTACTTGCAAAAGGTCACTAGCACTCCAACAATGGAACAATCAACATATACCAGTAATCAAGTCAACCTCAATAATACTCCCTACCCACTAACACCTCACCTCAAACTCCTGTGCATCCTCTTTCTCATTCTCACTAATGATACCCTCCAAGGCCTCTATATATATTCTTTTAGCATCCCCTTCCTCCTCCTTCATCCATCAATTCTCATCTCTAACCAAATTAAGCAAGCACAAACAGTCCCATCAATGGTCCATGCAAGAATCTTTTCCTAATTACCACCAACTTTTTTTCTCTCTACATAGAGAAATTAAGAGAGCTCTCAGAGTTCTCCCAAACACTTCAAATAGCCATGACCTCTCAGAGTTCTGCAACTCAGCTCAATGGTAAGCCTGAAATGGCCTCATTCTCGGTTCTCAGCGCCGAGGAGCCTCCATCTCTATGGACTGAGCTCACTTCCACAATCAAAACTGCAGTTTCTCCTTGTGGAAGCAAGCCAAACTATTCAATTCTCCAATGCACTGCTTCAGCCTTCAAGGGTCTTTTCCCTATTCTCAACTGGGGAAGAAAGTATGATTTGAAATCATTTCGAAGAGATCTTTTGGCTGGGCTAACTATTGCTAGCCTTGGCATTCCACAGGTAATATAAATGACCTCTTTTGATCAGTTTGCTATCAGAGTTTCATATTGGTTTGTTTACATAACATTTTATGAATTGTTGCAGAGTATTGGGTATGCTAATTTGGCAAAGCTCGATCCTCAATATGGCCTTTGTATGTGGAACAGTATTTTCTCAATATATATCTACATCTTATCTTCGTCTTCTTCTTTTTTATTAATACCTTTTTTTTCTTTCTGAATTAGATACGAGCGTGGTACCACCTCTAATCTATGCAGTAATGGGGAGTTCAAATGAACTCGCGATCGGTCCAGTTGCAGCGATATCTCTTCTGTTATCATCCATGATTCAGAAAGTAGTAGATCCATCAGTTGATCCTACTACTTACACAAAGATTGCTTTTACTGCAACTTTTTTTGCTGGCATCTTTCAATCCGCTTTTGGACTTCTCAGGTTCATAATATTTCCTTTCTCATACCATCTCACGGCAAAAAGCTCTCTGTCCACCAACATTTTTTTTAATCATTTGGATTTTAATTTCTTTGAGCTGCGTATTGATGCGCCATAAAAGATTAAAGCTATTTTTTTTCTCAAGTTTTATCACACATCAGCACACATACCAAGCAAATGTAAGTTCACATGCAGGAGCTTTACTCCCATTTGAAGAGGTAATCATGCCTTCTCAGCTCATATGTTTTTGATTTCTCTAACTTTTGCAGGTTGGGGTTTTTGGTGGATTTCCTTTCTCATGCTGCAATTGTTGGATTCATGGGAGGAGCGGCGGTTGTTATCGGGTTCCAGCAGCTTAAAGGACTGCTTGGGATTTCTCATTTCACGAACAACACTGATGTGGTTTCTGTTTCTAAGGCTGTTATCTCTGCCCTGCATGAATCCGTAAGATTTCTAATGTATCCAGAGTTAAGCATGAAGCAAGTCTTTAAAGTTTTAAAACTAGTATTTTGTTTCCCATGAAAGAGGAAGCTCAAAGGACGGTAGTGCTTAGCGCGCATGAGCTAAAGCAGTTAAATAATCAGCATTAATTAATTAATGTCTGATGTAAGAGCAATTACTGCAAGGCCCTCTTCAATCTTTGCCTGAGAATGTCCCCAGAATACCCCTGGATTTTCATACCTAATTACTACTTTTGAGCCTACATGCATGTGCATTGGGCTGAAAATGGTTTTACGTAGGATTAGCTGCAGATAAAAGTTGCCAGTTAATTCTTCTTATTTCTTCCAACCAATTATTACGACTAAGACTAATCTTTGATTTAGTATAAGATAACGGACTATGAGAAGATGATGACATTTTTAGAATAGATCTTATGTAATTTTGTGGTTAATATGGTTATCATTATTTTTTGGCTTAAATAACATAATAGTAATCATTGTACTTAATTGGCACAGGGTAAAATAATCTAGTCTTTCTTCCATCAAAGTGGAAGCTCACAGGATGGTGGTGTTCAGTGCTCTCAAGCATGACAGAGTGAAGGGTTTAACATCAACATTAGTGACTAATGGCTGACTATTGAAAATCACTTTTCATTCTTTGTCTAAAGGCACTACTAAATTATGAAACTTTCCCAAAACACCCATGAACTTTTGCACCAAATACTACTTTTCAGTCCACATGCATTTGCGTTGGACTAAAGGAGGTTACCTTTAGGATAAGATGACAATTATCTCCTTTCTAGGTAGGAACAAATTGCTGAGGGGTGTTCTTAGTAATTTACATTTAACAGGACAAGTAAAACCAATTTTGTCTTGGTTTAGTACAAGGTAACTAATTGTCCTTTGAGAGGACTGATGATTTTTTTCCCCCTACAACAGATCATCTGTATAATTTTTGTTTTGTTTTTGTATGTTCATGGATTATTAAGTAAAAAGGCCTATCAATTATTCAACATCACTGCTAAGGAACAGATTTCAGCTACTAGTATTTCTTGACTAACTGACATCAAGGATCATGATTTTTGTTTACTACTAAGAATGGACATTTTAATATGACCGTGATTATTTTAAGCTGCCGTAATTTGAATCATCATGTTTCCTTCAATAGTTAGAGTTGACCAACTGTTCAACATTATAAATCAGAAACTAACAGACTTTCTATTGAAGTTAATGTCATTACTTAACTGGTAAGAATTTGTAATTATAAAATTGTAAATGCAGAAGTTGCAATATTCTCTTTTCCTGCAGATAAACGTAATTTCCATTTGTGAAAATATCTCAGGACGTGAACTTCCTCTTTAATAAGAAGCTGAAGAAGATGAACATTCCACTTTCTAGTTCAAGAACTACATCACAAAAGAAATTAATTAGAAACATTTATCTAAGTTGCCAATAGGATATTGTGTTTCTACTACTAGTAAGCATCCAACAGTATACTATCAGAATCCCTGGATCAAGTATATTCTGGTTATCTCATGCATAAATAAGTTCTTGTCAACCTAAGTTTTAATTGGATTTTTTTAATGGCAGTGGCACCCTGAAAATTTCTTCCTTGGATGCTCCTTCCTCATATTCATAATGATCACAAGATTCATAGTAAGAACTTCATCAACAAATTTCTACCCACTTCTCACCCTTTCTCCTGCTTATTTTTCATCTGATGAAATTTCTCGATATCTAATCCTCAGGGGAGAAAAAACAGGAAATTATTCTGGTTACCAGCCATAGCTCCTTTGATCTCCGTGGTTCTATCTACTTCCATAGTTTTCCTAACAAAAGCAGATAAACACGGCGTTAAAACTATACAACACGTTAAAGGTGGATTAAACCAAAGCTCAGTGAGCCAGTTGCAGCTAAATGGTTTATATGCTGGAGAATCTGCAAAGATTGGGTTGATTTGTGCAATTGTAGCTCTTGCGGTTAGTCTTTGTAATAAAATTTTGAAAATGTTAAGTTATTATCTATAAGATGGATATGATTTTTTTCCGGATAAATAAATATCAGGAGGCTATTGCTGCTGGTAGATCATTTGCAGCAATTAGAGGATACCAACTTGATGGGAATAAGGAAATGATGGCTATGGGATTCATGAACATTGCTGGGTCTCTATCCTCTTGTTATGTTGCAACAGGTAAACAAGTCGTAGACTAAACTGGACTAGTTCGAGAAATTATTCTTAAAAATAAGTTCTATATGTTTATGTACTTCATTAGTAATATAAATTAGAAATTGATCAATCTAGCTAGAATCCATTAATAAATCTTGAGATGGCCATATTTCTATCTTTTTTTTTCGTGTGTGGGTCCAAGGATCTATATGACTATATCACCTACATAGTTATGTGAATGAAGTTACCCTTTATGTGTTTACCTAGAAATTCATCATTGGTCAGAAACTTTGTCCGTTCTATTCATGTTCTCACCTGAACTAAGATCCAAATGGGAGTGATGGATGACTTTAGATAACAATCATCTTCCAAGTTGTATAATTGTACTAGAGAACATATGCACAAGTACATTCTAGTAAAGCTATGTATGCATATATACATATACATATACTTGATATATAGCGCACAAACATGCACACGTACAGACAAATATACATACACATACACATAGATACATATAAATACATTCACACATCATACATACACACATAGACAACATACATACATGAATCCAAACACCCGTATGTACATCCACCCACCCCCC